GTTGGTTTAATTTAGCGTCGAAATACAAGGTGGATGCTCACTTAATGGGCTGGGTTTTTTTTTTGGTTGTTGCTTTTTCCACCCCCTCCTCCACCTCGTTCTCCCTTAGGAGATGAACATTCACCACCCTAAAAAAAGAAAAATTCCACAAGGGTGGATTTTTGAACGTCCATTCTTGGTGTGGGAGCACTCCTGTTGAAAACCAGAACCAAAAGTGACTCCCTTCTTCCGGAAACACAAAAAAACCACCGTTCTGCATCGAGCGGATATTTTCCATTTTTCCCATGGAGATTCACCCATGTGTTCCTCGTGTAAACGTCTTGCTTGCGCGCAAGCGGGATGGTTTGCAGCTGCACAAGGCAATGCACAGAAAACAGTGGCGTTGGTCTTCATGCAGCAGTAAAAAAGAATAAGAGATATGCTCAATAATGTAAAAAAATTGTACTTTAAAGGTATCGTTTCTAAAACGCGACAGCCCACTCAAGACTTACAAAAAAGAATCAGAATTCCGATTAAACAAATGAGCATTGGGTCATGATAATTTGTGTTGGTGGTCTTTAGCCTTCTTGGAAAACTCCACATTCCATTGGCAGAGAGAAGTAGGACAACAACTGTTGACTTTCTATTCTAGCGGCACTGTTTGAATGTTTCACAATTTACTCATCTCACGAGTATAATACATGGACGCATTTGAACTCAAATTCTCCTGATTTGGAACCTCATAATTCACGAACCCTCTTCAAAGTCGTCTCGCCAGCGTGGAAGAGTAGACCAGAATATCGTTTAGAGGGGGCTCTCGAGAGCTCCCTCCAGTGGAGGCCCTTCCGCCAACAGTGGCGTGAGCATAACGATTGCAGGGGCTGCCCCTTTGCCTATCCCACGAACTTGGGCAACAAGGATATAAACCATAGCAGTGAAAGAATTACACATTACAATTTAATACATTTTGGGTAAAGTTCAAATATGGGGTTTTGGCAATGATACAGGCACACAACTTTACTCCTCCCGTGAATTGTGTTTATTTTACAATGAGCGGTAAACAATATATATAAAAAATATCCACGCAAAATTACTGGGGGATTGTGGGAGTTGAACACTGGACCCGGTATCAATCGTACGGCAATAATAATGTCTTCTTTGATAGCTCGCCGCAAACGCCTACCTCACAGCTCTCTGCTTGGAATCAGCTCCATATTAAGTTAATTTAAACCTATTACTTTAATAGCTTTTAATAACGAAACATAGACTCCATGGTGGGCCTTGGCAACCACGGTGCCAGTCAGCAGTTTTCACACGGCTCATTTCCCTGCCCGTACGGCCGATAGAGAATGGTGTCGCTTTGCTTGTTAGTTTATTCAATTTATGTCTGAAATACGTGTTTAACGGGTGGCTTAATGAGTTCAAAAGCGTTCGAAGCTTTCACCCGAAGGAAAAAAAAACTAAACGCTTAAAGTTGTGACTTTGAAACCGAGGCGAGCTTACTTAACACACGCTTAGAAAATTAAGCGTATCAAGCAGGGAGCGAGTGCACAATTGAGGGCGTGAATAAAACAGTCCAAAACCAACCGCAAGGTAAATGGGCTCGACTGAACCTTAGATACTTTTTTTTTATTAAACCAGGCCAGGGAAGCTTCAAAACGGCGTTTATGAAGGGCTCAAAAAAAGTAGTCAGAGAAGGCTCAACTGAGGCCTTGTGGAAATATGGTTCATAGCCAGCGAGGGAGCGCTTCTCAGAGGACTCCCTAGGGGGGCATGGAGCAGGATTCAAGCGATTAACCCACGCAAATGCATTGCGCAGGAACCCTGCAAATACAGATCACCGCACGAACACGTTTCCAAACATCACCCAAAAGAGCAGATGTTGCAGAAGTGTACACGAAAGTTGCCGAGACCTAGCGCTCTGTAAACACCGGTGGGTGTGAGTTTAAAGAAGCAATTTTCATGGCCTTCCAACGAAACACAACTTAATCGCTAAAGCACAAAGCTATCCCACGGTCAGATGTATTGTGGGGAGGGGGGGGCATTTTGGGAGCAGCTTTGTGCGACTTGAAATTCACGGTTTCGCGACAACGAATGACATTTCACACAGTTTGTGCCCGAACAGGTTATTCATAACTGCTGGCTTTGAGCGATGTAACGGGAGCCGGGAAGAAGGGGGTGTGACATATACGTCTGGGTTGTGCGTTTTACTTTTTCATTACGATTTTATTTCCAGCCAGACACACCCCTCATTAGTTTGTGTGTCAATACAAAATTAAAGCGAGTGAATAGTCAGGCCGCAAACCTTTAGTTCCAGCCACTGAATATATAACATCATTGAAATGCAAAACTGTCCTCTGCGTCTCCACATGAATACAATTATGTTTTAGGCCATCAACCTATTGGCTTTCGAATAGGTAAGAAAACTCTCCAAGATCTGTCCGAACACTCTCCCACCATCTGGTCATGCTTTTTAAATGTACCGTAGTCTATTTGTAAAGTTTCGAGAGCAAAAAACCCTTACTGCAACACGGTAGCGCCCTTTAAACACCTGGTCACAGTGCCAGGTTCACTCCGCGACTCCTGACGCAATCGCCTGGCTCAGCCACCTCGGTGTAAAATGACAATCGTTGCCTCTACATCAACATCGGCCGGACGCAAAAGCACAATCTTTACGGATGTATATTTTTATGTTTGTAATTTTCTTCGCCTTACCGATGTCTCCAATGGGTCCCATCAGCGTGGCGATGGTGCGATGGCTTTTTTGTCAAGATGAACATCTGGTGCACAGAGTGGTAAGAATTGAGAGCCAGGCTCTCGTTCTGTGCGCTTATTTCTAATGAATTTCTCTCAGCAAAAGTGCCATATAAGTGATTTCCCTCCAATGTCTAATCACGTCGTGCCACTCAAAACACAGTTTCCCAGGTGAGACTGTGAAGCTGTGTGCTAATAGTCTTAAGCACGCGTTTGTATGGATGTTTTTACTTCTTTCGCACCGTACGTAGCCAACCGTGCTAATCGGAGTTGCGGGGGGGGGGGGGGGGGAAGGAAGTTGGTGTGTGAGACTGGTCATTTAGGTTTGGTATTTTCACCGGTTGCGTCCCAAGTGCACGATGTGCATCCAAGCACGAAGCCACATATTACACAGCCACACAACTCGGAGGTGGCGTCGTGACGCAGGCATGAGGCCCGATATCCTTACGGGAGCTTTCATACGTAACGGCGAGCGTCTCCCCTTCACAAACATCGGGGATTTGTATTGTGCCTACTTGCTTGAATAAGGAGCCCTCACTGTTGAATGAAGGGCAAGCACCCAAACGTTTTCTGATTGCATGAATGGTAACCAGGGCTCAGGCCATCAAGTGCAATACATTTGGGAGTGGAGTTTAATCTCAGGTGGGAGTTCTGTGTTTAAACACAGTACCACAACAGTTATGGCTTCAGAAAACGAGAAAAACATTAGCCAGACATGGACACTGCAATTAGTCCCCGGAGTCACCTGGCTACTGCATCCATGGTCGCGGGGATAATCCCACACACAACATTATCTCAATTTAGAAACACGTGCGCGCATTTGGAACACTTGAGTGATCAATGCTTCACGCACGACGGGAGCCTACTCTAATGTTTATACGTTTCCATTACGGAGCAAGGAGCGTCCTGTGGCATAAACACTTGTAATCTATGCATGGCATGGCCCCAACAACTTCAATTAGCTATAGGGCAGGCTGCTCCAAGAAAAAAATACAAATGTCAATCCTTCTTCTGTGAGCTTATGCATTTAACGGATTAGCTCTAACTGTCGACTGCTTTCGAATAAGCCACAGTAATCTGTTTCTTTGGGATTTTCTGTACAGTCTCACCGTAACTGTGAGGATTATTATCATCTTAGCCGGGATGCGTAAGTGCTATTCATCGTCGAGTCAATGAGCTAAAGAAAAATCATCGGAAAAACCACGCAATATTGTATTTGCATAATTGAAGTATATCATAATGAAAAGTAAATTAGCATACTGATGCATGACATTTTTGCATGCCATTTTTTGGTGCAGTGCCTCTGCATATATATCGCGTTTCATGAATTTCTATTTACAGCGTTGGTTTGACAAGGCATCAGCGGACAACGAAGTGAGAGGATCGCTTAGAGATGCTACCCTGTAAACGCACAGCCTGCGTTTAACCTTCACCTCCCGTAAGCGCCAATCGTACGCGAACAGGCATTGACACTTGCAAAACACCTGTCAACATCGCACGTGTGTTTCGCGTTTTCGCAAACGTGAATGCGCCAGTGGGTCTAACACGAGAGCTCTCAGTAGGGATGCTATGGTCCCCCTCCATCGTGGTGTGACACCTTGATGGAGGGGGACCACAACTCCCGAATCCAGAAGCCAAACCCCAGCCCTATTGACATTTTCAGGAGAGGTGAGCAGCAGGACTGGTCATGTGATCGCGCGAGTAACGACTCGCCTATTGTTCCAGGGATGTGATCAATCGTAACGGCAAATCGGAGGGGGCTGCAGTTCACTTGAAGGATTCACGACTTTGCTCGTCTCAATTTTTCCCCCATCTCACGTGTATCGCTTCTCATTATGAACGAAAAAAATCATCTCACACGTTTAGTGTTTCTTTGTCCCGTTATCCTAAACGTAGCATTCGAGCAACATCCCCGCCGATTGCAAGCAATCGAGTCGCTCTCACGCGCGATTCGATGTTGCGCATCGCGAGCTTTGGAATGTATCCGAATCGATGAAGAACCGCGTGAAGCGTCCTAAAAAAACTCGGTGGGTCGCGAGCCGCAGCAATGACTCATCGGCGCCTCAAACGCTTGCACGCGTACTACGATCACACCCATTGACGCCGATCGCAAGCCGACGCGCCGCTGCACGGCTAGACGCGGGCCGAGCGGCGGCGGCTGCGACCGCGGCTGCGGCGTCCCTGCGGGGACGCGGTTAGCGGGCGGAGCGGCGAGGGCCACAGGGGGGGGGGGGGGGGCGGGAAGTGGGGGTGGGGGGGGGGCGTACCGTCAGGTGCTGGAAGAGCCACGCCCGCATGATGTTGGTGGCCACCTTAGGGAAAATGCCGCGCTTCTTCTGCTGCTTGCGCTCCTTGTCCAGCTCGTCGTCGTCCCCGGACAGCATGCCGTTGTCCAGCCCGTCGCCTGCAAAAGCAACGCGTACGCAAGCCGTGAGAGGAAGCCGCGTGCGAGCTCGCTCTCGATCTCTCTTGGTGGCGTTTGAGCAACGGCAGCGCAAACGATCGCGGGGGCCGGCGCCTCTACACGGAGAAGTGGATCGTGGGGATAGTTTTAAAGTCCCCCCGTCTATTGTTGTTTTCAGCCAGGTGGCAAATGTGGCGAGGTAACAGGACGAGCCTCGTTCGCGAGGGTGACCAGCGAGGGTTTGGCTACGTACGGTGCGAAAGTAGTTCAACATACAAACATACATACAACCAGGTGTCACGAAAATTGACAAGAGCGCAACACAACGACGAAGACGATAGAAATCAGAGGGGGAAAAAAAACCAAGCTATTAGATATTAGCGCAAACAATAATGGCGCGTTACTGATGGAATTCAAAAGTGTGCACAGACATAGTCGGTATTTTAATGAAATACATTTCCAGTAACAACAGTTGGCAGGGACAAATTACTTTAAAAAAAAACATTCACAGTAACATTTGCAGGATATAGTTTTGTGTGTTTGCACAGCAGGGGATGTGTGAAAACTGAAGGTGGAAATCACTCTGACCCCTTGGCCAGCCGAGTAAACAACGCTGAATACGGAAGCTGTGGCCACCGGGGGTCAGAGGATGGTTTAAATAAAGCAACATTGAGTCAAACTTTAGAATCGGGGAGGTTTTCCTGGGATATTTTCTTTTGAGAGTAGAATCGTACGTGCTCGTTCAGGGCAATATTAATTAAGTTTTCATTTTTAATTTTGTATTATTACCTACGTGACTTTACCGAAAAAAACAAAGAGTACAATATTAGTCAATTCAATGTTTAAATTGGCTGGCTCTGTTTAGTATAACATTATTTTACTCGGGGATAATTATCGAATTGCAGGTAGGGATACTTTAAGTAATTAGACCTTACATTAATTAGACCTATAATTCCGTGAGATATCAATCTATTCATCTGTTGAATAATTTACCAATGTTTTTTTCCGGCAAGATTTTATATGCCGCAACCAAAAAAAGTGAACAATCGATGGGTTACTCGATAATCCTTTATCTGTACCGGCCTTATTGATGTCTTGGGCATTCTCCCGTTGCTAAAATTACACCGGTGCAACTTTTCATAATTATTTGGCCTTCACCACGCGCGTGTGAATTTCATGTCTTGCGTGCAAGCGCTGTAGGAATTCGCGTTCGTACGCACACATGCGGGCGCATCGGGATCACGCAAACATAGAGCTGAACAGGTGATGTACGTGTGAACAGCATACTGTACGTGAAAATAGGTCAATGTTTAGGCGTACACAGTGGAATAGTGGAACGTCGGCGTGGTGGTTCGCTCACTGCGTATGAACCCGTCAAGCATTGGGTTCTTTTCGCGGCCGCGACGGACAGAAGTGGCAAGCGCTATGTGAATCAGTCCTTTGCTCCTTCCTCCACTGACCAGCGTGGTGAAGTATGATTAAAGCAGCCCCCGATAACAGACAGAGTAGCGTAGGTCCTCATCCAGCAGTGGATACTTAAAATATATTCTTACATGTAGATGGATGGGTCAGATGTTCACATACAAAGACAGGCGTGTTTTGTGATGTTTATTTATACATGAAGGTAATTATGCTCCATTGCCACAGGTGCACGGATAGCAGCCCCGGGGAACACGTGATGTGCATTCATAATACTCGGCAGGTACATTTTAATGGGGTACGAGAGAGAAAGTTGAATAAACCATTGTGATTCAATGCCTGCGCGCTTTAAGATGCGTTTCTCCGGCTGTCTGGAACGCTCTTCCTTCCGATATCAGGTAGCCACTGACGCTATGCACTTTTAAATTGAAAACTAATTTCTTTAGCACTGCTTATTGTGTTTAGTTTGTCGTCCTTCCGCACCTCCGATTAGCACGGTTGGCTATGAATGGTGCGAAAGAAGTTCAAAATCCATGCATGCAGAGTACTAATCCCCAATTTTAAAAGTACCCTCCGAGTCCAGGTCTCTCTTGTAAGCCAGATTACTAAATTAACGACCACCTGGTTAAATAAATGGCATCTGCAGTATCGATTGGATAGTATAGCCTTTAGTTTTCGGAATGCGCGCAGGCCATTTGATGTGCCTAGGATTTTTTTTGTTTTAAACCTTCACAGCCAAATTGAGAAAGGAAAAAAAAACCTGAAAAAATCCATTGGCTACAGAGAAAAGTGCCGTTCGGCACTCGCATTAGCAATGGTCGAGTGTTTTTATTGGAAAGGGGATTAGAAACTCCGTCCGTTAAACGCCCTGTGCTGTTGTGCGCCTGCGCCGTTGAGACTACAATGGCACGGGCTTTCCGAACCGTGGAGTTGAAACTCTGCGGCGCGTTCCAAAAATGAGCCAATCTGCATCTTTCACAAAACACTCTCGGTCTTCCATGCTCGTGCATGACGGCAGCAGAAATGCGGTTCGGGAGCTCGATGCCAATGTGACGATGAGAGGGCTTCAGGACAGAGAGAGAGAGAGTTCGCGTCGTTTTGCTGTTCCTGCTCCCTCGTTGAAGGAGCGCAGACCAAAGTGGGGTTACTGTGTGATCCATAGTTTGTTTTGCGTGGCCATAATCTCACTCCTGTGACTTGTCTTGAATGTATCTCTATGTACATCTGTAGGTTTGCTTTGGTTCTTTCGGTAAAGTCACGTAGAATGAGAATAAAATAATAAAATAATTAAAATACAATAACACAATAAAATTCTCACGACGTTTCGGCCACAACACAAGTGGCCTTCTTCAGGTGAAAGGAACAAACCTGTCGGGACGACAGAGCTTCAATGGAAACGTCGTGAGAATTTTACCGAAAGAACCAAAGAAGATGAATCCTTGCAGTCACGAAAGCTTTAAATCGAAATATGCATCTGTAGGTCTCTATGGGTTTACGCCATGCTCTGCTGTTCGGATTGCATGGCCACAGTCGCACCGCCGTGGCTCGTGTCTTTAATTTTCCATTCACGAAGGAGACGTGTTCATCGGCCTGCGGAGCCTGTAAAATTCTTTAAAATAATCGCTTCAAATCAGAGCAGGAGGATGACCAAAATCATGGTGTAGATCTGGATATTTTTTGAAATTATTATTATTCGTAATTAAATACCTCTCAAACATGTTTTTAGTGAAAGCAATACAGAGATAGACCTTAGTGCTGTGCTTTGTGCTCATCCCACCAGCGTGCTTTGTGCATGCACGGATGTATCGTACGCGCCCATTGTGTGTGTACGTATGTGTGTGTGTCTGTACGTATGTGTGTGTGTCTGTACGTATGTGTGTGTGTCTGTACGTATGTGTGTGGGGAGCGGTAGTCCGGCAAAACAACCCCCTACCTCCTCGCGGTGCCGGACAGGCAACTCTGTCGTGGACAGCGCTGTGGGGGGAGATCCAATTTTGATTGGCTCCTCCCCTCATGGCATATGTGTCCACCACAGGGGCTAAACGGGGGCTCTGGACGGGTGCGAGGGGCTGGTAACCCCTCCACCTTCAATTAATTACCAGGAAACCACGAATAAAACTGAAATATGTAACAACTAAGCTTGTGCCGGAGGCCCCGGGGGGCCAGGCGTCTATGACGTCTCCTGGCCAAACCCCAATTGGCGGAGCCAGGAGATTGAATACCTACCCTCGGGGCTACTCCAGAAACAACGAAAAGCCACTACGGGTGGCCACGTGGAATGTTCGAACGCTCACTGCAGAGGAGAGGCTGCCACTCCTCTGTCGGGAGCTGGACCGGTACCGCCTGGATCTATGTGGCATTCAGGAGGTCCGGTGGACCGGCTCTGGCTCCTGCCACCATGAGGGGTGGACAGTCCTCTACTCGGGGCAGCAGACTGCCAAACAACAGGGTGTGGGTCTTCTTTTGAACAAAAGAATGAAGGGGGCGTGGGAGCGTGGCGGTGAGGTGTGGGAAGCTGTAAGCCCCAGGCTACTTTGGGCTCGCCTTCCCATCAACCGGAGGCGAGGAATGGTGGTCGTGGTTACTTATGCCCCCACCGAAGATGAACATCCGTGGAGGGATGCAGGCAAAGCCGATGAGTCAGATGCCTTCTATGACCTCCTGTCACAGGTGCTGGCTAAAGTGGCCCCTCGGGATAGAGTCATCATGTTGGGTGACTTCAATGCCCGAGTTGGTCATGATACTGGCACCTGGTCTGGAGTGATTGGAGGGCATGGGCCAGATCAGCTCAATAACAACGGTAGGAGGCTGCTAGATTTTTGTGCAGCCCATGGGCTTGTAATTACCAACACGCTGTTCCGGCATCGGCACATCCACACAACATCATGGATGCATGCCGGGTCCAAGCAAGAACATCTGCTGGACTACATAGTGACGGACCAGCGGATGCGAGCCCATGTCCTTGACACCAGGACCTACCGTGGAGCTGATCTGCCCTCTGACCATCGACTAGTCATCTGTAAGATGCGCCTGCCATTCTTCCACTCCGGTGGTGGGTGTACACCCAGGACCCCATTCCAACCTAAAGTGGCCTGGTCTCAGTTATCTGATGAAAGTTGCAAGCGAGAATTTCATCATCGCTTGCGGCTGGGATTGGCATCGTCCCCGACTCCTCCTGATGTCGAGGGTAAATGGGCGAGGTTTAGGACTGTGACTCATGCAGCTGCAATGGCTGCTTTGGGTACGCGGCCCAGACCTCCCCAGACACCCTGGATGACAGAGGAGTTGTTCAGGATGGTTGAGAAAAAGCGACAGGCTCACTGTCATCGGCTACAGAATCCCACGTCAGAGAATGAGGAGGCTTACCGCAGCCTTCGCTCGGAGGTTCGGAGAGCCGTGAGGCGCTGCAAGGATGGGTGGTGGTCGCGGGTTGCTGAGGAGATGGAGTCTGCCTCAGTGGCCCGTGATCACAAATCTCTATTTAACTCCATCAAAAAAGTAACCTGCAGCGCCACACCTATTACCATCATTAGGGGAAAAAACGGTGATCCAATTTCCGACCCCCAGGAACAGGTTCGCAG